CAGAGGGATTGCGTTTCCTGGGATCGAAAAATTCCAAGTCATTCTTATTTCGAACGTTTGACAAGTAAATTGTTGACCTATGGAGTGAATTCTTCATCTCGAAGGGGCTTTATTGCCATAGTGAAGAGATTTGCTCTAATTCATGATGATGCCGTGGACTACTGCAAATTTATTTGGTCCATCTCAACAGAAAGGTACTGAAACGATGCTGCGTGCGCGAAGAGCTCTAATGGAATCACGCGTGAATCGCGCGCCCCCCATGCCGGGGCAATGCGGAATTCGAAGAAGGTGAGCAAAGATAGACGTGACAGATGGCTTATAGTACAACAACCATGAGTAGGAGTGCTGATTTACATCGTAAAGGTATTGTTCGAATGCTGCTCGGACTGTGCATAGAACATCCTTTTTTCTATTTAATTGTTTACTAATATTTCTCTTACAATGAAACTTTCATTGTACTTTGGTCTGGATGCATTTCATTTGCGTTGAAAGGACAGAAGAGATCTTCGCGTCAAATCTTAGCAATTGTATACATTATACATGATGCTTTTGATAAATTTTTCGTCGATGACACGGAATTTTCTCTTGAAAAAAAAAACCTACCTCTATTTAAGATGTGAAATTCTTTTGAGTACTTCGACAAAGGCTCAAGTTCTGGAACACAACGGACTTCGAATCATTCAAAATGCTTGTTTGAATTAGAAGCTGTGCAAGTAAACATCCTTCTTGAAATGCTCTCAAAAAAGCAAATAGTTCTCAGGTACAAATCATTCCAGATTTCCACTCCAACCATTATACATACAAATATAGAGTCTGAGGCAGTATCGAAGAGGCACCATGTGTGGGCACTTCTCCAACATCAGATGATTCAAGCCTTTGGCGGGCCCTTCAACAACGGCGCGAAGAACTTTCCGATAACCTGGAAGAAGATGAAGCTTCTGCCTTCTTCATACAGCACACCACATTATCCTTTTCTATGAGGAATCTTAGATGGGTTGAGAAGATAGTACAGACACGATTCGTTCCAGGTTATGCATGTCTCAAGTATATGTTGATCCTGTATTCAATCAAATTGTTCAGGCATCAAGATTCCCTACAGGTTGAAAGCTGGTAGCGATGATAAACCTTACTCCCTACCTGCTATTCACCTTACTAAGGTTATCCGATTTCATACTCTCTTTGCGTTCTGAGTGGGCAGAACAGTGCTTATCAGGAGACTCCCCCCACTTCCTCTTCGTAAAAAGTGCGGGAACTGGGGCACCGGAGATGCTGATTTGCGGTTGGAATCGGACTTTTTGATTTCCTTGCAAACATTGCTTAGCTTTGAAGACCTTAAGAAAGTCTTGGCCGGGGCGAGGGGCTTCTTTTCGGCCAGAACTGTGATCTAACGATAATGGAGCTTCATACAAATGATCTAGACAAACGTCCCTATTCCGTTTTAATGTCTCTGTTTTATTCTCTCACCATTTGGGCTCACACTAACGCGCGCTTTTTCTACAAAAAACGCGTCAAATGACGATGATTTTTCGGTCTGACCTGAGCTCTATCCTCAGAAAATATGACAATAGTCTGGGGTGGGTTGTAAGTTTTGCAAAACGTAAGGAAACGCTCCGCTCAGCGCGGATGAGCCTTCTTCGCCCTAATTGTTGGCCTATTCCTAATCATTGCCCATGAAGGAGAAGGCAGACCCGCCTTGAGCGGAGCGTTTTCTAACGTTTCTGGGTGTGTGGGCTTTTTAGAGCAAAGTTATGATTTTTTATAACTACACCGCCCATTGCAGTAAATGTAACTCTTGTGAACAGTTTCTGTCCTCTGTCGATCATGCCCGAAGTCCCAGCCATCCCGAAGTTGGCCCGACTTCTCCATGTAATATCCATACTCGGGACAGATAGACAAATAGAAATGAACTCTTTTTATAGTAAGTAGTGGTGATCATTTCGTAGGCAATGACTAATGATGTGACTTCACGTGTAGAACGATTTTGGAATATTGAAGACGTCTATGCATAGAATTAGGAATTTCTAACCTTAGGCACGTCCACCTTGGTGCAAACCCCGCCCACTCTAGGGATTTGACCACATTTCCTTCTGCAGCCTTTAACCACGCATTTTTCACATTTTTGACATTTTGAACAGTAGCAATTTATTCTAAAAACCACCTACACATGAATGCAAGCCTCGCCCTTCGTGAGCAGAACTTCGATATGCTCACGTATGCACTATACACTATACGGTTTTGCTCACTCCGACTTTTTTTTCTGGCCTCCGTGCTTTTGTTGAATCAATTTAGAGACTAGTGTAGTAAGTACCACCTAAGGTCGACGAGTCTATGTCATCCCACCTGATGACCCATACCTCACTTTTGCACGTTTTTTCCCTGGGGTCTGGGCTGTTATTTGACCTATTTAAGGAGTTCTGCCCATGATATCGCCAGCTCCCGTGCATGCTCCGACTCCAAAGACGGAGCCCCGCTCAACTCACATTCTCTTTTTTTGGTCTTGCCCTATATAACGCAGCCCTCACCTAACCCCTCTTCTCGAGGGCCCCTTCTGGTAATATCGTACTTCCGTACAAACAAACAGGCGGACGCAAGGGCGTTCTTATATACAGCATTGATGGTATGATTGTAGTATTAGGTTGATGCACAATTGTTGCGAATTTTTTGGCGGCTTTTTTTCTCCCGTAGAATTAATATTGGGTTTGGGTTTTTTCTAGAAATGATACCATCCGCATATACGCACAATCATGCTCTACTTTTTCGAGAAATGTTGGAAGGGGGCAGAGCCATTCCGCGACCCTGCTCCTGAATCTGCCATACTCCCCAGCAGAAACTGCTATGGATTGCCTCGTCAACCGTTCGCTAAAAAATGGCTGGAGAATAGAACTTACGTCGATTTGAATGACTTGTTGGCCGATGTCGTGGATCGCCCCCAAGGATCAAAACGTCTTCGCTTTTGGAATCCGACTATCTAGCCAATGGGAAGCAGTGCTTGACGAAAATGGTGGATAAGTTCCGGAGCAATTATTTGAACATGTTTTTGTTCACTATTTTTTCGTTTCATTAAATAAAATTTGTTTAAAGAAAGTTACTGAGATAGCGGAATGACTCTACCACCTTCACACCTTTCTCGAAGCAGTAGAGCTTAATTTCCCGAATATGCGGAGGGTTTCTTAGGTACCCTTTTGTAGAGAAAATCAAGTAGATCATTTCTAAAAGAAACTCGAACTCAGTACTCAAATTCTATCGAGAGGAAAAAAGCCGCGAAAAAATCCGCAATAATTATGCATCAACCTAATATAATTACCAACGAAGTAAAGTAGGTGTAAGAGCATGGAGCCTTGCCAAGAAAAAGCCTCACATCATCGTTCTGTATCAAAGACATTATACTTGGCTGGTCATCCTTGTTCCGGCATATTATCGGATTGGAGTTTCTAGAATTTGGCGCTGCTCCAGAAGAATCGGCGCATATTCCATCATCAACGAACACTCCAGACTGAAAACAAAAGTTGGCATCGACCTGCTATGTGAAGAGCACGTCTTTCTATCTCCAGAAAACGGTCTGTTCATAATCATTGCATGGAAACGGCAAATTTCGTGTTTTTAGTCGTCTCGATATCGAAAGCAAGAGGTGGGTGAATGAATGTTGGAGCGAGAGGTACTGTAGAACGATCACCGCATAGCCCATGGAGTTTCTTCTTACGAAAAACCGTAATGGAAGCAATGCAGTTTTTGTGAGAATAAAAAAAGTTCCAATTCTAAAAATCTCACACATAGATTAAATGGATTAAGGAAGGGAAATGAATGATTGCGCTGCAGCATCATGTGTAAGGAGCTCGAACATATTGAGTTAATCGGGAAGTTTTCACCGATTTTGGATGCAATGAGTTTATCAATTTTTTCATAGAAAAACCCTTACACAGTCCCAACAAATTGAATATTTATCTTCTGAGAAGCTTAACTTCCTCCACATATCAGCCTCAAGTATGTTAGGACTCTTGAGTTCTGTATGCGTAGTAGGACCCCTGTGAAGGTGACGCACCATCGAGAGCTTTTTCAACACCTCAGTCCTTCCTTAATACCAGGAAAGCAGGAGCGCAGCTCAAAATGCAAAAAAGATATGTGACTTCTATGGAAACGTTGCAGAGATTGAATGATTTGCAAATATTGGCGCTGCTCATGAGACCTCCTCCCTCTCTTGTTAAGAATGAATGAGGAATTCAATCGAAGGAATCGGAGCATAACTACTCGCTGATGGTGGCGAGACTGGAAAGGAATTACTTATTGTGGGTTGTTCACAGCACCACGGAACGATCAGGTACTGTACACAAAATAATTAGATAATTTGAAGGCAGCAGTAGAACAAAGCGCTCAGATCTGGCCGATCGTAGGGGTGATCTTATTAATCGGGGCAAGACCTGGCCGCATTATCTCCGAATAATCGTCAAAAATTACTGGAGTTTAGGTGAGACTTTTCCCATACAGTCCATATATAGCACCATAAGACAGTTGTTTGTTCAGATCCCGGAAGATTTCTTTCCATGGGAAATCGTTTGATTCTCTAGACGAATTCGACTACAGAATAGACCTTTTTTGATTCTTAATCTGGAACCCCCACTAAAGGGGTACATTGAAAGTTCTAGAGTATCCCGAAACATATACAAACAGTATATGCGGATTTATCCTTTGAGAGCTTTTTTTATTCTTTATTTTGAGAATCTGCATTTTGAGTGACTACCATTCGGATCGCCCCGCTAACGCCCGACACTCCTCCTTTTCGTGTAAAGTTGATCAGCCACCCATTTTTGGACACCATGGTAGAGGAGAACAGATGGTGTAAATTTCCGGCTAAATCACACACGCACACACAACCACATAGCACTTTATATAGCAGCAGAGTTCAGTTTATACCCGAGTGATTGAGAATTATGAAAATCCTGCTCTGCTGACTTCATGCTGCTATAGTGATTAGGGTGATGAAACTTTATTCCATGTTGTTAATCACGGGAACATCAGCTCCACGACTATTTTGTCGCTGCGGGCTACGCGAACTACAATTTGTGAAAGCTTGTTGATGCCTTCAAAGTAAACTCACGTGATCCCTCGTTAAGATGAGTGCGGTGCCGTATGTCCTCCTTCGTCTATACTCATTATCCCACGATGTTCTTAATTGTTCCTCACGCAGTGCGTTTTCTTTTGCTCAACTCCACAGCTAGGACTACTCGATCTCGACAACGAAAAGAATACAAAGGTACTGGAGGCCATGTTTACTACTAGCAAATTGATTGAGACCTTTTTAATGATGAGATCTACTTCATTCAACCTATGTTATAGATAGTGGTTGGTGATGTTTGATCGACGCCAGCTGAGTATTTTGAAGGTGAAGGGCGTTCTTTATTTTTAGTAAAAATTAACGAAGAATTAGCAATCGTCACAATGTAACACTGAAATGCTACGTGTGATTTGTACTATAATACTTCAGCAGAAGAAAAAATTGAAAACACAGCAGAAATTTGGACAAATTACTTGAGAT